AAGTGATTCCAAATATATTTTTCCTCTGTGTTGATATCATTATAGCTATGGTATGGACATTCCTGTTCTGTTCTATTACTTACTCAAGCAGCATAAGTTATACTTTTAATAATATCATACTCAGTCACATCATATCACGATCATATCATACTCACCTGTCTCTTTAAACTTTTTCTCCTCAGGCTGGACAACAGAGCACAGGCTGTTCAGAACCAGGGTGCCCATCTTAGATGCATTGCGCTCAGAAGACTTGTAGTAGTCCAGAGAGTTGTTAGTCAAGACAAACCAGCGCTTTTTCAGTTTGAGAGCAGAACCTTTGGCTCCTGCCTTCATCTCCTTGTGCAGCCATCCTGTGTCACAAAAGAACACACAGACACACACAGTTTAAGCAAATTGTGACCAGTTACAGAACCTAAAATATACACTGTCCTATCAATTTGAATCCAAATACTCATGGACATGTTAAATAACTAATCAACCATAAATAAAATTCATTTGGTAACTAAATTCCGGTTACAACGCTGTTAAAGATGAATAACACACCTCTGACCAGGAACTCCTGTCCATCACTTTTGGAGTTTCTTTTGGGTTTCTGCAGCAGACTGATCCAGTGATGCATTTCCTCCGGCAGGTCTGAGTTACAGTGGATCACACGATTGGCTGTGATGATCACAAATGAATTAGGTCTGTTTGGAAGGAAACAGAAGTTGTGTTAGCACCAGATAAATATGGTAACGTTATACACTTTTTTTTATCTTCAGATATTTAGTTCAAACATTAAAGGTGAAATGTGTAACTTCTGTGCCATTAGCATGACATAAGCATTAAAATATTAATATTTTGATATAGTCAACAAGTGGCTTACTCATAATGGACCCTTTTCATAGACTGTGATGATACATTTCCCCAGTTATTGATGTAAATGTAGCAAAGTATTTTTTTAATTTAAATTTTTTTTTTTTTTACATACATTTAGAACACTGTACTTTGCATTATATTACCTTTTCATTAAATCACAAAAAATTAACACTGCTACATGAAACTACAACAGCTGAGGAAGGGATGGCAAATTTCTCTCTTTTAATCACTGTAATTAACATATCAGTATTTTTTTTCTTCTTTTGAAAGATCATAGAAACGCTGTTGTGGATTTTTTCTTTTGCTATTGAAGCAAATGGAAATGCAAAATGAAATCATATTGAAACTATAGAAGAAGAAAAAAGAACACAATTCAGCTACAATTGCTGTAAGTAATTTCAGCAGCTGGTTTTCTTCTTAGTATTCTGTAACAAAGATGATACTCGCCTGTCGGGATTGTCTGAAGCACAAACTGAATCAATCAATCCAACATCCAGTGTGCCCTGAGAGAAAGAGAGCAAAGCCAGTTGTCAAAACTGAAAGGAGGTTTAATGGTGAAAATGCACATAGTGTGAGGAAACTAACCACAGCGTTCTTTGGGTTGGCCTGCTCATGGGACATCTCCAGCAGCTGCTCCGGGGTGGCATTTTGGACCCGACTCAACACGGTAAACCAGCCACTAAGAGAAGGAGAGCAAAAGAAAGCGTGCAGAGTGAGGGAGAGCAGTTTGGTCCAATTACAGAAAACACACAGGCCTAGACATAAAGGTGTCAACATACCTGGCATCCTCCGGTGACTCTGCAAACACCTGGTATGTTCTCTCGTCTGTCACAATATTCAGAGCATTCTCTTTCTCATGATTGTCCACAATCTCCCTAAAAACAGGAAAAAACTTGATAAAACCTGATCAATCACTAATCACAAAAAGTGTCTTCCTACCTGACATAGACGCCTAATGATACCACAATACTGTTTCCTATTTGTCTCATACTTACTTGGCTGAGTGGATGTCAATTGTCCCTTTCAGCTTTTCCTCACTGTCATTCTCAAAGTACATGAGCTTGGAGTCACGCAGAACGAACCAGCGCATCTTCCAGTTCCTGCGAGAGAGAGTAGATAGACCGCCGCCCTTCTTGTACAGCCAGCCTGACTTTAACGAC